ATGGATGGATGGATGGATGGATGGATGGATGGATGGATGGATGGATGGATGGATGGATGGATGGATGGATGGATGGATGGATGGATGGATGGATGAACAAATGCTCCAGGCAGGAGGGAATGAGATCCTTGGTGGACAATTCCCACCAGTTCTGTTGTGAATGAGAGCATCAGTGCACACAGGGCACTGTGGGGAACAGCTCCCACCTCTCCAGGTACTCACAGTCTGTCCAGGTTCACCATCATCACCTTTGTCACCAGGCGGACCATCTTGACCCTGAAAAGGAGGAGAAAATGAACAAAGAGGTGTTTTTAGGAATGAGCAGCACAGTTGAGTTTCACCCCAAGAGGAAGAACCTCTGTGAGAGCAACACTTACAGCTGGGCCAGGCTCTCCAGGAGGACCGGGGTCACCAGGGAAACCAACTGGACCCTGCAAAGAGAGAAGAATGTTCCCGAGTCAGAGATGTTGCCCCTGGAGAACTGGAGAGCACCAATGACAATGTGGGGGCACCCTATGGAGCAAGACCCCAATTCGCTCAAACACAATCTCACATCACATCCCATATTTGCAGCTGCTGCGTTTTCACCCCAGTCCAGGTCTGCATCCTGACTACCAGAGCTCCAAAGGCAACACTGGGAGCTCCATAACAGTTTTTGGAAATCCATYGGACAAGTGGCAGTGGAATCCTTTTTCCAGGATTCCCAGCTTTGGGAATATGCAGACTGGRAAGTTTTGCTTTTTCTCATTGCACACTGTGTGACATTTTTTCACAGGAGAAGCCTCTCAGAGCATTTGATGACTGAACCATTCCCCATTCTTCTCCACACAATGTCTGTCGGGTGCTCCACACGATGCCAGGAGCAGCCTGCAGCCCAGCACAGATATCCCAAATCCCATCTGTTAGGAGGATGACTAAACTCCCCTGCCTCCTCTGCTGCTTTATGCCACCGTGCCTTATCTCAGAATACATTTCAGGCATCAGAGGAGCCTGCAAGATAAACACTTGAGTGACACCATTGTCACCTGTGTAAATCAGTAGGGCTCCACTGGCTTCACCAGAGCTATAAAAATGAGCAGCAGCAGGGACCTGGCTGTGCAGGTACAGCTCCCAAACCCAATAAATCTCCTTGATCCTATTCTGGAAGCTTTGYCCTGCTGTGGAAGACCTTAGAAACCCATAAACACAAAGGAACCCTGCTGCAACTCCTCTCTATGGGGTGAGATTCCTGATAACCTGCAAAAAGGACTGATAATTACAGCATTTCTGGGGAATAAGATGCAGCGGGGTCTTTCCTACATCAGCACCCTAAAGCAGGGGGCTGAGATCATGGATCACTAGAGGAACCATTCTGTGGCTGGTAAATATCTCAAATTTCCACAAGTATCTCCAGTAATGTTTTTCCATGCAGAAATCTCTGCTGGGCAAGGCAAGGCAAGACTAATGGGATACTCACAGGGCTGCCTTTGGGGCCATCATCCCCTGGTGGGCCTTTGGGGCCRGGTGGACCAGCAGCACCAGAGGGACCTGCTTCTCCCTTTTCACCTCTTTCACCTTTAGGGCCCTGTAAAGGAAAAAAAAAGCTTTTATTATCTTTGATAAAAAAACTTCCTGATCTCWTAATTCTCCCTTAATCAATTCTGAGAGGAGCTCTATTTGTGTCTCCAAACACAAGGACATGATTTAACAGTCCCTTCCCACAGGGACTGACTGGTGCTCATGGTGTTCAGTCGTGGGCAGCCCAGATTGGGTGACTAAACGTGATCCTATAAATACCCAGGAACGTGGCAATGTGTCATCGATCCCCAAATCCAGGACAGGGTGGGTTTGATCCCTGCTGTCCCATCCACATCCACCCCTCTCCCAGGGTGCACTTACCGGCAGGCCGACYTCGCCAGGGAGACCAGGCTCACCAGATTCCCCAGGTTCACCCTGCACAGGGAGAAAGAGGAAGGAAATATTCACATTTCTGCAGGAGGGTGAGTTTTCTGCTGCTACAGCAAAGCCACCATGTGAGAGTCGCAGCAAACTCCTGCTTCGGGCTTGTCCAGATGCTTTACCTTCTCTCCTACTGCACCAGGATTTCCTATTCCCCCAGGAGGACCCTGTGGACCGTCTGCTCCTGGTGGCCCAGATGGACCTCTGGGTCCTGGTGGGCCTGGTGGACCCTGAGAGAAAGGAGGGATAAATTTCAGATGGATTTCTCAAAGCCACATCAGTGAGGAACAAAGAAATATGGAGGCCCCTTACCATCTGCCCAACGTCACCTGTTTCTCCCTTCTCCCCAGGCGGTCCAGGCAGGCCCTGTGGAGGGGAAGAGGATGAGTTTTAGCTGTGAACATTTCGGGTGAGCCCCAGATCTCATCACCCCAAGCCCTAGATGAACTGGAGGGAATTCTCCACCTCTCTGGATGCTGCAAATTACCTGCAAGCCCACGGGGCCAGGGGGACCAGGGAAACCTCGGGGTCCTTCGTCCCCTTTCTGACCAAAGAGGCCTTGCTGTCCTCGGGGTCCAGGCTCTCCATCAGCTCCCTATAAAGAAAGGGTTTGATCAGCCCATGGGGTCACACAAACTCCATCCCACCACCCCCTGCAGCCAGAGGCAACAGCAGTGCCAGGCAGAAATCATTTCAGTGCTTCCCAGATGGCTTTTTGGAAAAAAAAAAAAAATTAAAAAAAAGGGATTTCTGCTACACAGGGACAATACTCACAGCTGGGCCAGGCTGACCAATCGGACCCTGGGGACCGGTGGGACCTGGGGGACCCTGTCACAAAATAGAAGTGCAACGTCAGAGTTAGGAGCAGAGTGACAAATCCACCTGGAAAAGGTGAATTCCTTCAACATTAAAACAGCGTTAATTCCCAAAAGAGAGAGGGAGAGCAGGGTCAGGTCTCCCTGGACRGCCCAGCCCTCCTCAGCCCTGGTGSCAATGGAGAGCAGACACATCTCAACACATTTTTGCTCCAGCAAAGCCATGTCCCAACACCAGCTCTAACCAGGTGGKCAGGGGGAACTCCTGCTCCTCAGGSTCTGGGCAGCACATCAGGGGTGTTCCATGTGCTGCAAACAACAGGAATTCCCACACAGTTACAGGATGGCCTGGGCTGGAAGGGACCTTTAAAGATCTCCTGCTCAAACMCCCCTGTCACRAGCAGGGACATCTTCAACTCAATCWGACAGGGAACTTCAGCCAAAGACCCAACTTTGATGGCAGCACTRCTCATGTTTCACAGATATTTCCATGCTAAGTGGGTGATGTGGAAATATCTCAGTGTTCCTGGGAGCTGGAGGCTCCCACTTGAGGCACTCACGCTTTTTTTACATCATGTGGGTATTTGATGAGGCAGAGATGAATCAACATTAGAACGAAAATGATATAAATTTAATTTCTATTTCCAGCAAGTCACACAACGAACCACACTCAAGAGAAGCAGCTCCAGCAGTGTCCCCTCCACTCACCTGCTCCCCTTTGTCACCTTTGCTGCCCTTCTGGCCTGGCTCCCCRATTTCACCCTGCCGGGAACAAAGGAAAAACATTAATCCACTGCCACTTCCACATCTCGAAACCCCAGCAACAGTCCTTGGTCTCACCCCAAAATGCCAGATCCCACAGGAACACCCCACAGTGTGCTGAACAAGGCCAGAGAGAGAYTGGGCCATTCCAGGTGTAACCAAACCCTTTCCCACCCTACAGTTCATTGGCTGCCGTGCAATACAAGAAGCTGCATTTTGCAACCCCTTTTAGCAGCCAGGAGGGATTCATCCAAGCTGATGTTTTCTGGGAATCCTCCAGTCCAGAGGGGCTCATTGAGCGAGTGGGCAAAGGGAATTAATTTGGAAAGGCTTGAGGGAGGCAAACTGGATTTCGGGGGATGGCAGAACACACAGAGCCCCATCTGCTGCTGCTCATCCCACGGGACTGGGAGTTGTGTAAAACCTCCTCTGGCAGCACATCCCACCCAGGAGGGGATGCACCACAGTGGCAGCACTGCCCACAGTCACCCCACGCAGCAGGAGCTGTCCCCACCTTGTCTCCATCCTCGCCAGGGGGTCCCACAGGACCTGCTGGGCCCGGCAGTCCCACGGGACCCTGGATGCCATCCCGACCAGCCGGTCCTTGGGGACCCTTCTCCCCCTGGAAGCAGAAAAACAGGCAGGTCACACACAGAGCTCTCCAAGCAAGGTTTTGTTCAGCTGCTAATGACTCCTGGCTGGATGGGCAGGAGCAGCAAAAGYGGCTTGCAGCTGATATTTCATCTGTGCTCCTTGTCTGAAACAAGACAGAACTTCTGTCTTGAGGGACAATGAAAAGAACAAACAAATGTAAACAGCGAATACCCAGATCACAGCTGCAATTTCACTGCTACAGCAACATAATCTGATTTAATCTGAACCCTCTGCCATCTCTGTCTGGATGACAAACAAGAGCCCAGCTAATTTTTACTCCCACGAGGCAGTTTTTGCTGATTCTGGTCCTGGCTGCCCCAGCACTCTCTGTCTGATCTCCAGCTRAGGGGGGCTCTCAGGAGGCCCTGAGCTCCCTCCTGAGCTCCTGGACAAATCAAACCACCTGAAGTGAACAAAGCAATCTCTGCTTCAACATCTCCCACTACTCCTTGGAGCAGGAGCCTTCAATCAAATTTGTTTGTTTACARGAACTGAACAGTGAATATTTTCCAGTTTCCTTGTACATAATTTAATTGCATCCGAATCCTGGGTGCTCTCCTCTATAAATAATTAGATGCCACATAAATTGCCTATTCATCCCTCCCCTGACTGACACATYGTGTAGGTACTCAGCAGGACAGATGTTCCTAAAGCTGATTCACCAGGAAACTCTCGCCTCTGGATTAGCTGCTGGAGTTTCTAATAAACCAGAAAACGTGGAATAATAATACAGGGCCTGATCAACAGTGCTGATAACAACAATCAACTGTCACCAGAGCGCTCTGACAGCACCAAAAMCACCACGGGCTCGTTTTGCTGGGTCTGAAGCTGAGCTTGAGGCAGGCAGCCTAAAACACCATCCCTGCAGGAATCAGGGATGTCACTGGGACTGTCCCTGCTGAGCCCCTTGGGGACAGGAGAAACCCCCAGACCCTCCCTGCTGTCTGCAGGTGCCCAGGGARAGCGAGATGAGCGAGGGGTGGCTGTGAAAGGAGAGGGAGCAGATGGCAGCTGCCAGCCAGGCTGGCTGGGATCCTGCTGGAGCAGCTCTGCCGTGGGTGGCACTGAGATGCTTGACAGCSTTGGTGCTGCAGGAACAGCACAGAGCATCCCAAACTGCCCAGCACCGTCCTGTSCCACTCCTCGGATGGGTGAGGGTTTGTTTGGGAATTGCTGCTGCCTTTCCTTGGGAGCAGGGCTGATGGAGCTGGCTCAGCTCTGTGCCCGCAGGCCTGGCCTGTGGCTGTTTGTCACCAGGAGGTGACAYAGCCTGTGTTGATCCCCCAGCTCTCCTCACTGCCTGAGGACACGTCGGTCCCTGGGGTCACAGCCACGTTTGATGGCAGGGGTGTCACCAGTGGGGCATTGGAGCAGCTGACACTCAGTGCTTTGATGTGCTCCAGATGAGAAAATTCCTTTCTAATTGAATTCCTTTTTTCTTTTAATTTAAATCCTTCCTACACCTCCACAAAGACTGATTCCTTGCTCAGCTCCCTCCTGCACACATCTCTGGTTGTCCCACAGCTGTTCATCTCAGTACTGGTACTTACTGGAGCTCCCTTTTCACCCGCAGGTCCTGGAGGTCCCTGAGGGCCAGGTCTCCCTGGCAAACCTATAGGGCCGGCTGATCCTGCAGGACCACGCTCCCCAGGAGAGCCCTGGTGGGAGAAGGAGGACAGAAGCATTAATTGCAGCACCAAACTTCATCCAGGCAAGAAATCCAAACTGCTCATCCATGTTTGGGCACGTTGGATGGGATAACTGCCATGTGATGCCTTGGTACCACCAGCCTAAGGGGGCCTGRAGATGGTTTTTTGTAATTAAAATCCCTCAAAAGGGCTGGATTCTCCTCTGGATGGTACAGAGAGCTCAGCTCCTGGGGACACATTAACAGCTTGGAACAAGAGCAGGAGCCACTTCACAGCCAGCAGGGAGGGCTGGATGATGAATGTTTTCTTCCAGCAGGGCGGCCCTGAGCACGGATCTCAAGCAGAGACAACTTCCAGAGGGAAAGCAGGTGGATTAGAAGCAAAATCCTGGATGTCCTGAACCCCTGCAGTTCCCTCAGCCCGTCACGTACRTCCACAGCTGACCCCACAAAATGACTGAGCTGTTACATGCTTTGTAAAACAAAGCAGCATCCAGGGAGCAGGCAGTTATGGCACAGGAACATCGGGATAAAGCCTGGAGCTGTGACTAACCCTCCCCGGGCCTGCCAAGCTTGTAAATGGTGGTGCCTGTAAGGACAGGGATACTCACGGCCGGGCCTGGAGGGCCTGGGGGACCTTCGTTGCCTTTCAGCCCTGGAGAACCCTGGAGGGAGGAAAATGGAGTCATTTGGGGTGGTGGACAATGGGAGAAGCAGGGGATCCACCCYGCTGGAAGGGGTCAGCAGCCTGTACTCACAATGGGGCCGGGGAGCCCTCTCTCTCCAGGGAAACCTCTCAGGCCAGGAGGACCGTCCTTCCCCGGGAGTCCAGCGGGACCAGGATCGCCCTGCAAGGACAGGGAGAGAGAGCTGAGGGTCTGCAGAGCCCACAGAGACATAGATCATCCAAAAGAGCTGCAGTTGGGATGAAGAACTGAACGTTTGCAGAGCCCATGGAGACCCAGMTCAYCCTRWGGAGCTCCASTTGGGATAAAGAGATGAGGGTTTGCAGAGCCCATCAAGGCCCAGATCATCTATGGGGCTGCAGTTGGGATAAAGGTCTGAGGGTCTGCAAAACCCATGAAGATCCAGATCAACCCGAGGAGCTCCAGCTGGGATAAAGAGATGAGGATTTGCAGAGGTCATGAAGGCCCAGATCATCTCTTGAAGCTCCAGTTGGGATGAAGAGCTGAGGGCCTGCAGAGCMCACRAAAGCCCAGATCATCCCRTGGAGCTCYAGTYGGGATARAGAGCTGAGGGTTTGCAGAGMCCATGGAGACCCAGATCATCCTGTGGAGCTCCAGCTGGGATAAAGAGCTGAGGATTTGCAGAGCTCATGAAGGCCCAGATCATCTCTTGAAGCTCCAGAAGATGAAGAAATGAGGGTCTGCAGAGCCCATGAAAGCCCAACTCATCCCATGGAGCTCCAKTYWGGATAAAGAGCTGAGSRTTTGCAGAGCCCATAGAGATCCAGCTCATATTTTGAGGCTCCAGTTGGGATGAAGAGCTGAGGGCCTGCAGAGCCTATGAAAGCCCAACTCATCCCGTGGAGCTCCATTTTGGATAAAGAGCCGAGCATTTGCAGAGCTCATGGAGACACAGATCATCCCGTGGAGATCCATTTTGGATAAAGAGCTGAGCATTTGCAGAGCTCATGGAGACACAGATCATCCCGTGGAGATCCATTTTGGATAAAGAGCYGAGCATTTGCAGAGCTCATGGAGACACAGATCATCCCGTGGAGATCCATTTTGGATAAAGAGCYGAGCATTTGCAGAGCTCATGGAGACACAGATCATCCCGTGGAGATCCATTTTGGATAAAGAGCYGAGCATTTGCAGAGCTCATGAAAGCCCAGATCATCCCGTGGAGCTCCAGTCAGGRTAAAGAGCTGAGGATCTGCAGAGTCCATCAAGGCCCAACTCATCCTGTGGAGCTCCATTTTGGATGAAGAGCTGAGCATTTTGCAGAGCTAATGGAGACACAGATCATCCCGTGGAGCTCCAGTTGGGACAAAGAGCTGAGGGGCTGCAAAGCCCTGGAGGTCCAAATCATATAATGGAGCTCCAGTCAGGATGAGACAGAATCTTCATTTATTTTCTGAATCATCCTCCCCATCTCCGGGGAGGGACAGGCAGCAAGGAGGGTGAATCCCAGTCCCTACCTTGGTCCCTTCTTTTCCAGTCAGACCAGGAAGGCCTTGCTCTCCTGGGGGACCYGGAGGACCTGGGTGTCCCCGCTCACCCATGGGCCCAGTCTCACCAGTTGGACCCTGGAAAAGAGATCAGGGAGAAGAGGGTGAGTATTGGCAGAACAATGAGAGGAGAAGTGCAGGGCATCAGTTCAGTCCTTTGGTAGCCATGGGATGGAAGAGGCATCCTTTCAGTGCCCCCAACAATCCCTGGAGAGATGGCTCCTCTGGCACCTGCAGGGACCTTTTTTGGGAAATGTCCAGCACTTCACTGGGCGGACTGGAGGCAYKGGGAAYCTRTGAAACCACTCACACAAATGAGATKTTAAYGCTTAGGTTTTCCTTTTTAATTGAAAACTTCCTAATCACCCTGCAACCCTGCTGATCCCTGCTGGGATGGGGCATCAATAATGCATGAGGCACCTCTTGGGCWCTCGGGGTGAGGAGTGTCACACCAATGGGGACAAAAAAGCCACGATGTCCCTGCCCCTTGGTGGCTTTGGGGACAGGGCTGGAATTCATGTCCTGCTGCAGGGGCCACTCAGAGCTCGCAGAGCCCCAGGGCTGCCTCGCTCAGCAGCCACACATCACAACAACTGCACCCCACAGAACTGCCTCAGAACCTCATTTGCACTTGAGAAGACAGATACTGTCATCAGGGAATTGCCCCTAATCAGGGAATTTACAAATCAGGGACTTTATGCTGTCATTAAAGAGGACAAATTAATTACTTTCTAATTAAAGAGCTGCAGTTCAGGGAAGAAGGCTCGACCCAGAGCCAGCCTTGCTCGGTGCAGGGCTCTGCCTGCAGAACGAGCTCACTGAAAGTCGAGCTGGTGCTGAGACTGTTCCCAGATTGCACAGAGCTCGGTGTGACTGAAAGGGAACCAGCCCAGCTCTGACAGAACCTGGTGCATTAAGGAAGGTTGATGTTCCTCACAGTGACGTGGAAGAACGCTCCGCATCCGTGTTTGCTCTGCCCTGAGCAGCAGCAGCTGCACAGCCCTKGGAGATCCCATTTAACCCCCTCTCTGCTCAGGGTCTTTGAGCTGTGTTGTCTTCTAGCTGATCTCTCACCCTACACCAGTTTTACACCGGGGTGGATGTGCTGAGTTCCTCATGTTTGCCCAAACCCCACTCTGATCCCACAGCGAGGTGAGCTGGGGCCACGGGGGCATTTCACAGCTGGCTCTGGAATTTCAAAACCACCTGACAGGGCTTTGCCTTCCCCTGCTGCACAAACCACGCTCCCAGCACCTCCAGTTSAACCAGTAAAGACCAGTAACAGAGGGCTGGTGCAGGGTTCTGCACATCTTCTTCTTACCTGGGGRCCCACAACGCCGGGAGGACCTGGAGGGCCGGTCTTGCCTTGGAAACCCTGCAGAAGGAAGGGAAAAGACATAGAAATGACATTTCTGCCAAGGATTCCTCCTGTGAGGGTCACAGTGCCACCAACAGCTCCTCCCTTGGTGAAACCCTGACCAGGGTGGGCACCTGAAGGGAAAGGATGTGAGAAATCAAACCGAAAGTGGGGAAAAATGTAAAGGGTGAAAGAGAGGAAGGAGAAGGGATTCTCGAGGCTCAGCTCTGCTGTGGTTTGGCCATTTATATATTAAAAATTGTAACACCCATAAAACCATAGAAGAAATGCCTAYTAAAAATGCTATTAATGGCAATTAAATGGCTGTTAAAAACTCAGAGTGAGTTCCTTCACGCTGAGCAATTCTTAAAAGCCATTTTCCTCATCCTGCTCCCCATTCTGGTGCAGGTTTAGGCTCAGCTCTGTCCCAGCCCAGCTCCCAGAAGCTCAGGGGCAGCAGCAGCCTGGAACCCCAGCTCATGGGGGCTGAGTGAAGCTTTTCCTCCTCCTCAGGCCCTGCTGAAAGGAACCACGGCCGTGTTTTTCTCTGCTGAGCAGAGCAGTCTCCATGACAGCTCCACAAAATGGCATTTTGAAGAGTGACAAGGAGGAACTCTCACCACTGCAACTGTTTGGCTCTCTGAGACTACTCTTTCAAAAGCACATTAATTATGGTTTTTACTCCAGCCCGCTGACAAGCTTGAGAAATGGCATTTAGGGCACATGGGCTGYTTTCTCATCGCCACAAAAGAGGATCAGATAAATCCCATGCCAACRCTAGCCTGTCATGCTAAAATAACTCCTCCATGCTATTCTGGCTGCCTGCAGATCAGAAAATATCCTGTCACTGATGGGGAAATGGCAAAACATCCTTGGGAAAGGAAGGTACAATTTAAACTCTTATCRCAGACAAATATTTAGATCATTTCTGTGCAGGACTTTCCTTATTAACCTGAATAAAGGGGTTTGCTTTTGTACTCATTGAACCTCAGGCACAGGGTATTTAGAACTTGTCATGGGTTTTTAGAACCAATCTTTGCAAATCTAATATGGCCAAATACCTCAGCGTGACTGTCTGCTGCTGAATGGGAACTTAAATGAAGGGAAGTGTTTGACACAGAGATTTCAATCTTGCATGAAGGTACACTGCACTGACCCAGCTGCTGGTGTAGAAAGAGTATTTAATTCATTTTCATATTCCTCTCCTTGCTTTTTGGCACTGTGCAGGGAAAAGGGGACAAAAAAGGGACTTCTGCTGCCTGGGTCTGCAGGGGAAAATGATCTGTGCAAGGCTGATGGCTCAGATTAACAGAGATTCTGATTTCAGGCAGGGTTTGYCTGGGAGAGGCAAATTGAGGAAAGCTATTAGGGAGAATTTTCAGACCCCAAAATARTTAAAAGCCCATTCTCCATTCATTCCTGCAGACTTGGAGGTTGATGCTTTTTATTCCAGACTCAGACACTGATGACAGCAGATGCTGTCAAAGTTTTCACTGCTCCCTCCACCTTGGCTGAAGGTGTCATGGAAAATTCAGGGAGGAAAGATTCAATGTCAGGCAGGCTCTGGCAGGTGAAAACTCTTCACTTTTGAGTCAATCCTGACCTGAGGCCTTGGCTCAAAAATACCTCAAACCCCTTGTTTTAAAATCAGTCTTATGGGGTGTAAATAAACATCAAATATCCGGTGTTGGGCTGAGCAGGGTTTGCATTGCCTTGCTTAGCAAATGCCAGGCAAGTTAATTAAATTGTGTGACAAGTTGAGGGGAAAAAATGCAAAATGTGCAAAGGCTTTTTAATGCTCATTTGCTGGGGAAGGCAGCGCAGAAAAACACAAAGCCAAGCAGATGAAAGTGGGTGGGATCTGTAAAATAAAGGCAGAACAAAGGGGCTGTGTGCTGACAGGCAGTGCAGGGACAGGGACACCCCAAAAGCAGGGTTGGGACCAAGGGGACACCTCGTAGGGACAACGCCCATCCCAGAAGTGTCCCCAGTGCTGGTGTCACCCCACACTGACCCCACAACCCACTGGAGGGGCACAGGGAGAGGAGCTGGGGCACAGCCTCGGGGGAAATCCTCATTCCACCGATCCATCCTGCTCAGAAGAGACAGGGCTGCTTCCCTCAGCTCACATCCATCCATTTGGGGAATCCAGACAAYCCAAAAGTGGGGCTGCMTCKCCCCMGGGGCACAGGAGGATTTACARAAACCAAGGTGAGGCTCAGGAGTCRTGATTTGCCCAAGATTTTTTTGGCTACTTACAGTTTCTCCTCTCTGTCCAGGGTGCCCAGGCAATCCATCCTTGCCGGGAGGACCCTGTGGCACAGAAGGAARGGGAGAAGCAGCATCACCACGTGCTCAGCAATAAAAACGTGACCAGGGTTGAATCAGCCCCCCTTTCTCAGCTCCCAGCCATCTCCCAGGGAAATGGGGGTACTCAGAACCCTAAAAGCTCAAAAAAAATCTCACCCAYACATCTCTCAAAGGATTTATCTCACAGCAGACTCAGAAAATCACCCCCAAACCATTTCTGAAATCCCCCCCAGAGCACAACTACAGAGACAGCAGTGCTGTGCTGTCCTCCACGTACRCAGAGGGAAAATAAAGCACAGAACAACCACCAAAGATCCCAGAGATCCTGAGTCAGTAGGAAATGAACGTTTATAATCAGCTGCAATTTACTTGGCTATTTAAAATCCAAAAGAACGGGCTGTTATCAGGATATCTCAGTAATGTCTTTTATCGGGAACGTCACCACTTTGCCAGGAAAGCAGCTCRGGCTGAGCTGGCACAGGCTGGGTGGGAAAGGCTGGATTATTTCTTGGGATGTCCCAGGGATTGAGTTACTTACAGGAGGGCCTTTTGGTCCAGGAAATCCAGTTGGTCCTTGAGGCCCTGGCGGTCCCTGGGATGAAAAACAGAAAAGTTGGTTAAGGAACCTGCAAGACTTGATGTGAAATATTACCCCTGTGAGAGGGCAGATGGGCACAAAGATCTGGAAAGCCAAATGCTSGGTGATTTGGTAGAAAAAAAATATGAAAAGAACAAAACCCAGGGCAAAAAATAAAAGAAATAAAAGGCAGAAATTGAGGCTGAAATCATGAAAGTCCCATTGTTTTAGGGTTTTGTGATCTGGAGAAAGCAGCACGAGGCCTTATAGAGCCACATCCTCCAAGATCCAGGCTCTCGCTGCCTGCACAAAACCCAGGGGTGGCTTTTCCCTTCTCCCACAAGTGATGCTTCCCCAGGACACCCAAGATCCCACCTGAGCCTTCCCTGGAGAGCTCAGACAGCACCTAAGGGCTGCAGGTGGCTTGTGGGACCCTCTTTGCACCAGCACTTGGATTTTTAACCAGAATTCTCCTTTTATCCTTTCCTTTCCTTCTGCTTCCCACTCCTCTGTGTTAACAGGGCACAGGGAGGAGGTTCCTGGACAAAAATCCCAAATCCCCACCTCCTCTGCCAGAGCCAAACACCCACCCTGGGCTGAACCCGGCTTCACCCCCAGCTCTTACCCTTTCTCCAGGAGGACCAGGGGGGCCGTCACCACCAGAGTTGCCCTTTTAGGAATAAGAAAAAGAAGAGAAAGTTAAAAAAAAACCCAAATCACCATCAGTTTCTGCATGCAAAGGCTTCAGATGGCACCACGGTGGCCCAGCAAATCCCCAGCTCTCCCCAAGGATAATTCTGGGTCAGGAGCAGCATTTTGGGTATTTTGCAGTTGAGTTTTGAGCCATTTCTCTGGGAATGAACTTCAGGAGAGCTCAGTTTTCCAAATCCAGGGGGAAAAGGAGAGGAGGGAGATGGAGGACGATGAACCAGGTGCTCTCTACACCAACATTTGTCAGGACAGAGCCCTGAAGGCTCCCCAGACCTTACCTTTGGGCCAGGTTTGCCTGTGCTTCCCCTGGGGCCTCTTTCCCCCCGTGGACCCTTGAAAAGACAAAAAAGGAGACATTTTAGGTGACATTTCTGCTGCTCTGAGTTGTGCTCAGGCAAAGCACCCTGAGTGTCTGAGCTACCTGGGGACAACAAATCATCCCAGCAGCAGTGAGGGGTGACAGGAAAGGCATCAGAAAGGATTAAACCCCTTTCAGGGGTGAGACTCAGCCCCAGATCCCTCCCTTGGAGGACACAGATCATGTCCTGGTGTCCCTCTGGCCACGACAAGGGTTTTAAGGGCACACAAGGATGAAGAAGTGGCTCGTTACCGTCGGCCCACGCTGCCCCCTCGGACCTGGTTTGCCAGGAGTGCCCTGAAATRGGAAAAGAGAAGGGATTAGAGGCAACAGCACAGCAAAGGGACCCCCAAAAAACACCCCAGAACCTCTGTGCTTCTCATCTGCAATGGAAAAGGCAGCTGTGGGTGAATTTCCATCTGCTGATTCCTGTTTTTATTGGGATTCATTGCATTTGGGCAGGTCTGGACAGGGATCCCAATGSCCAGAGAACATCTGCTCTCTGAGGGAATGAATCTCCTAAAGAACAGCATCCCGAGTCATTTAAAATCCTTTAGAACCCCACAAAGGCTTTCAGAGATGAGGATGATGCCTTATCAATCGGGCTAATCTGAAACAGAGGCCAGACAAACTTAAGAGAATGAGAATAGACAATTTTAACAATCTSTCTTTTATGGGAGAAGGSTAGTTTTAGTGTTGTACTGGAGAAGTACAAGAATGCAGATGCATGAGAATATAGAAACTAAAAATCCTAAGGCATCAAGGCCACCCCTCGGACTGAGCAGCATCCCAAAAACCCAGCCCAAAAGCTCTTCAGCTTTGCCCCCAGATACCTCCAATCCCTTTTTTCCCCACTTCCCCCAGCTCCTGATGTGGGGCAGGGTCCTCACCCCGCTGTTCCCACGTGTTGCTGTGGGGTGTGGGAGCAATGGCAGCAGATTCCTGCTGGGAACAGCCCTTCCCTGCCAGAGTTCAGCTGCCCTCGATATTCACAGACCTTCCCTGCTCCCCGCACAGGGAACTCGCAGCTGAATGAGGAATTCCTTGGCTGCAGCTCATGAGATCTGACAGTTGGGCTTGCTGGGATGGGGGACTGAGATTAATCCTGACGGGGAAAAGGCAGGGGCTGCTTGGCCCTAAATGGGGCAGGGTATTAAATCCATCACCCTGACCCTAAAGGAAAGGAATGGCCGGAGAGCCCCACTCTGGTTGGTGTCAAACAGCCAAAAAAATGCTGAAATGTCCCACTTTAACCCCCCAGACTTTCCCCTGTTTGTCCTTCCCCCATAAACAGCCCCATCACACGTGAAAAGAAGGCAGAACCTCGGTTCCCAAGAAGGAATATCAGGTGCTTAAAATATCCCTCACCATAGTGTGCCCCAAATCCATCACCTCTCTGCTCCGATCCGACGCTCATTAACCAGCAGAACACGGAGCAGGAGCTGGAAAACTTCACATTCAACTTTCTCCCAGCTGCTAAAATTAGTCCTGCTGAATCTTCCTTGTTCTGCAGCTCCATTTATTAAAGCCTGCTGGCACACTTTTCTTTTCTTTTTTTTTTTTTAATTTTTAATTAATTACAAAATTCTCTTTAAAGTACTCCAGCTGGTTTTCTTGGAGTTCTGGGAGGATAAATTGGGAGCAGGTGGGGAGGAGGGGGTGCTGCCTCCCCTCAGGTAGCCCCTCGCTCCTCTCCTTYTTCCACAATTCTATTTTTAAGCYGAATTTCCCCCTGCTTATTGCTGTCATTAATCATGCATTCAGCCCYGAATTTACCGAGCCCTGGAAATGTGCACAGACCTATATATTTCAAACAGGGATCCTGACCTGAAGGCAGCCAAATTCCGATTATTTTCGAGGCGTGCAAGGAAATGGGTGGATTTGGAGATTTCCAAACAGGGAGATCTCTCACCCTCTAAATGGCAGAGGCCTCTCAATCCTGAAAATCAGATTTCTTACTCGTGTTTAATTATTGATTTCCTGAGCAGGTTTTGCAAAAGTCCTGCACTCACCTCGAGCAGCTGTTGGGGGATTTAATATGTTCTGATTCTCCAAAAGCACCAAACAGAGAATCAAGAACTGACTTGGGGTGAAAGGAACCCTAAAGTTCATCCCATTCCATGGCCACACCATCCCCAGTCCAGGCTGCTCCAAGCCCAATCCAAAGTCAATAAATAATTTTCTTTTTCTCTCCATCTTTCCTGCAGGTTCCCTTCACATTCTGGAAGGTCACAATCAGCTCACCCCAAAGCTTCTCTTCTCCAGCAATCCCACTTTTCCCAGAATCACCCTCCAATCATCTTCATCCCTTTTTCCCTCCCTGTTTTTACCTTTGCCAGCCTTTTTTGTACAACTGAACTTTTGCATTTCTCCTCAGCACCAAAATTCAGCTGCTTTTGCTGCCTTTATACCTTTGATTTTTCACCTTTTTTAAAATTATTTATGGGCTTGGGAAGACTCTTTGTGCTGCTGAAACAACAAACCAAAAAGCTGAGCTCCGTTTGGTGAGAGACATTTGGGATTTGCATTATTTTGACCACCTAAAACAAGGGGATTGAGGAGCAAAATGGGGAAACTGTGATAAAGAAAAGGCAAATACATTATTTGGGGCTCTTTCAGCTGCAAATTGAGTTATTCCATGATGAACTGGAGGAAAAAAATCATCTTAGAAATTCTCTTTCTTGCCTCRCACTCCTAAACCCAGCAAATTGAGTGGTCTGAGGAGAACCAGAGGAGGATTTATCACGTCCAACTCAGCRAGGCTTAAATGAAGATGAGGGTCTGTGTTTGGACTGGAGCAGTGTGACCCCAGCTCAGCCCATAATTCTGTATATAATTGCTTTTCTCTTATTGCAAATGGGATACTTGGGAGCAAAAAAAAAAAAATAAGAAGAAAAAGAGACGGATAGCAAAGCTGCTACTGGAAATCAGTGTTTCTGCTACTCTGAGATTTCCAAGCTGAGCTCTTTGTGTTAATGGAAAGATTTGTTGGTGAAAATCTCTCTCTGCACTGTTAAAATGGGTGCAGTTGATGGATTGGGTRTAAAATGATAGAAAAGGTCCAATCACAAATGGAAAATCTCAAAAAAAAATTGAAAATTTGAAAATACCATGAAGTAAATCAACATTTGAAATGTAAAAAACCTTTTTTTAATTCCTTAACTGAAGAAATGTGTGGTGTGCCAAGGGTGTAAATAAATATCCTTGCCACCTCCATTAAGGGCACAAAGGCCATTTGGAATAAAAGTGAGCAAATGCTGAATTTTTTTATCTTTTCTTCTCTTACCATGGTTTGGTTCTSAGGTTGGGCCCTTTCCCATCAGCTCTGCTCTCTCCTCCCACCCAGCCAGAGCAGAGGGAGGGCTGAGGATGTGCATTTGTGGTTCAGAATGAAATGAAATCCCCCAGTGAAATAATAAAAAAAAGGGGGGGTGGATAACACCCAAATTGCAGTGGCATGATATTAATGCAGTGCAAAGTGATTTATATTTCCTGGGCTCCTCTCAAAGCCGTCTGTTAGAAGTCATTTCTATTTAAATGAGAGTAAAAAGGAAACTAATTCCACTTGCTGTCCTCACTCCCCCTTCTTGTCACTGTGACCGGAGCTGGTGCAGAAAATGACTTTGTTTGTACTCTGAATCCCTGAATTCGAGCGTGTTCTGCAGCAGATAAAAAATAAATCAGTATATTTAGACAATCCCTATTCAGAGAGAAGGCTGTGGAGGTGGGGTGAGAGGCAGAGACAAGGCTGGGGGATGAACCCCCCTGGTTTTCAGGGTGTCTGTGAATTTTGAGCAGCTTATCAAAAGCAGGGAGAATGTTCTCAGCCATGCATTTGGAATTTCAAGTTAGGTTAAAGATGGTTCWGGCTGCCTCTGCACGGATTCAGCCATCTCTAATAATTACTGTTAATTAAAGAGCTCTTTGTGCCCTGAGCAAAGTCTGACAGCGCGGGAAGGATTCAGGTTCTGAGGAGTCTCTTAAAATATCCTGAGGGGAACATTTGCAGGGTTTAATTGGGAAGCTGCTGGCTGCAGAGCTGGCTGTGCTGGCACCAGCATCCTCCTGTCCAGCAGCAGGAAATTCATCCTGGGATGAGCCTCTCTGGGCAATTCCCAAGTGGAAAATTGGGATTTTCCAACATTTTAGTAGCACACAAATGGAGCAGCAGAGGAGCGATCCCCACATCCTCCAGGAGCTTTGGAGAGAAAAAAAAAGTGAAGCAGTGGGAAAAACGAGCTCTTACCCGTGTGCCCTTCTCTCCATTGGCTCCTGGAAATCCTGGGAAACCGATGGAGCCCTGGGGGAAGAGGAGAGAGAGGGAGAGGCTCAGGACAGCCAGGGCCAGCTCAGCACCCACCAGACTGGAGTGACCCCAACGAGCCACCAACATCAACCCAACCTCCCTCCAACTCCCTCCAGCAACACCAAAACCATCCCAGGCCTGCCATGACCTCAGAAATCACTTTTTTTTTTTCCAAAAAAACACCACCCTGAAGATGCACAGCTCATTAGTAGTCCCTGAAAGAGCCAAGCCCACGGTCGTGCACGGGCAGGATTTGGGATTTCAGCTCCTAAGTCACCGTGGTACATATGAAAATTTAACTCCTGCCTTGTTCCTTTCTGAGCCAGCGCCTGGAGAATCGCTGCTGCTGCTTGTAAAATATGAATTAGCCCAAGAAAATGCAACCCCCCCGCCTTACTCTAGATAGAAAATGCAAATTAAAAAATAAAGCATCCACGCCACGACCGGGAAACAATCTCTTGCAGATAATTATGGCTCCAGAATGAAACAAGCCTGAGTTGTTGGTTTGTTGAGTTTTTTTTTTTTTTTAAAGCAGCGAACATGAATAATAAAATATGATTCTTAAGAAAAGTTAACAAAAACATAAGTTCTCAAAGCCTCCAGGGCATGTGAAAACTGGGCTGTAGCCTCAGTCTGAAGAGAGGAATTCGCAGTTTTAATTTTAAAAAATGCCTTGAAAACGGCCCAAACTGAGGTGGGCGTGGAGAGGAGCTACAAAGGATGTTTGCAAATATGCAAAAGGCAGTTTTCTTTTCATTGCAGGGAGACCCTGAGTCATTAGCTATTCTCCTTAATTAATTAGATAACACTATCTCGGAAGATAAAAGCTCTAATCCAAGGAGAAGGGACTCTAATGCCTTTTACCAGCAGGAGAGCTCCCAGGGAGCCGGTTTGTATCTGTCCCTAAAGCACCCCAGCCCTGCTCCCGGCCTTCCCAGCCCCGGAATTCCACAGCTCAGGGCTGGCAGCTGCTTTTACCCATCCCTGTTTATGTCCTGCCTGGGTGGGAAGGAAGGACCTCATCCCACGAGTGGGGGCTGAGCTTGGCTG